AGGGGGAGAGAACAAATTTACACCGGGAAAATCCAGAGGACTAGACCGAACTTGCACACGAAAATCACTCACTACAAAGCAAAAGACTTGGCAGACGATGCAACATCCCCCCAATGAAAAGCAGGGGTGTCACTAGCACTTTAAGAGACCATACAATGGGTGTCAGGGGCCCGAGACTTTTTCAACTGCCTCCCAGCATACATAAGGGGGATTCCCAACAAACCCCTGGCAGTCTTCAAGCTGGCACTGGACAAGCACCTAAAGTCGGTTCTGACCAGCCGGCTGTGGCTCGTACGTTGATTTGCGTCAGCCAACAGTAACAGCCTGGTTGATCGGGCTCTGACCACCAGAGGCCTGGTCACAGCCCGGGGCCCAACGGGGGCTTTGACCTCCGGAACTCTCTCCAGGTAAACTCCGGGTAAACCCAGGGAGGTACACCATCCTGTGGTAGTAGGTTGGTAGACATAACCACCCAGGGAGGTACTACCACCCCTCAGGTTGTAGGCTGGTAGACAGCAGGGATGGTTAGAGAAGCGGGGTGACACTCAGACACCCACATAATAATGACAGAGCAGAGCAGCAATACAGCAACTGGGACACATCAGCGGGAGACTGGGCACATCAGCGCCTCTTGAATGGCAAGGTGAGCTTTGTGACTTCTCGTTCCAGATATTTACTTTAACTTCACACAAAAAATATGGTAACAAATGGTAGCAAACGGAAAAGTCAAAAGGCCCATGAGAGTTGGACCTACTACAAAAATAATAACCACCACCGCTTAGACACTTTGTCATATAGGGAGGGTAATGAATCAGAAGGGTAATAATGGGAATAAGCAAAATAAGGAGTAAAGGAAAGAGTGGGAGGGAAGGAGGTAGGTAGGTAATGTGACAGGTCAGTGACAGAGCCGTAAGCAATGTGAGGTAACTCACCACCTTCCTCTCATTACCATATACATTACCCACTCTTCAACTCACTCCAACTTACATAAGTAAAATAAAATATAAGAATAAGAAATAACGGGACAATGAATATTACTATTCTATTTAAACACAGTTTATTATTAAGTCCTTGTACAATAATATATTTTGGAACATGAACACTATTGGGTTTAGATCACTGGGTATTGTACATAAGCAGTGAGACGGGTTACAATTTAACTGATGAAACAGAATATTTACTTACAATAGAAGTTTAGTGTACAGTTCACCACAGGAACCAAGTCAGACTCTAGCCACAGGTCCCAAGTCCTGCACAGCACGAGCACTGCTCCAAGCCAGTACTCTGCCCAGTGTCTCCAACAGTCTCCCCCAGAGACTCTCTAGCAGACTTCTAGCAGAGCTCTGTACACAGGCCAGAGCTCCACCAGAATCTCCTCCTTAGCTGTTTCCTTGAGCTTATATGGTCCTTAAAGCACCCACCTAAACTCCAGGTTTTGGGGTTCATCCCCCCCCCCATGAGGTGTACACCACATGTTTTAAGACCCAACACCTACATTTATCACACAAAAGGTAGACTTCTCAAACAACGAGACCTGAGACGTCTGGCACCAGGAGTCTTCTACATTTCTAACACCTATCTGCCAAGGCAAGAAGTGTGACAATTTACATTGGTTAGTTAATAATAATAAATTTATTTTGACATGATACATGGTTGTACAAAGGAATATTATAGTTGACTGTACATTCCAAAAGCCCCTTGTATGCAGAGCATTTCGGACAAACTTAAAATTAACTTCAGATTAATGAGGCAATAACAGATTAAATGTTCATTAGATGAGTTAAGTGAGTACAAAAGAATTGAGTATTAATAAGTAATGCTATGTGAATTTAATAAGTCTAGTAGAGAATAATCACAGTTTTGAATTATTTTATAAAAATTACAGTATTACAATAGAACAATTTAAACAATTTACAATATAAAGTATTACAATTGAGTACAGTGGACCCCCGCATACCGATGGCATCACATAGTGATTAATCCGCATACCGCTTGCTTTAATCGCCAAAATTTTGCCTCACATACCGCTTAAAAACTCGCTCACCGATTTTCGTCCGAGACGCGTCCAATGTGCGGCCTGAGCCACGCTCACATGTTCCGCCGGTGGCATTGTTTACCAGCCAGCCTCCGCGGTAACATCCAAGCATACAATCGGAATATTTCATATTATTACAGTGTTTTCGGTGCTTTTTCTGGAAAATAAGTGACCATGGGCCCCAAGAAAGCTTCTAGTGCCAACCCTACAGCAATAAGGGTGAGAATTACAATAGAGATGAAGAAAAAGATCATTGATAAGTATGAAAGTGGAGTGCGTGTCTCCGAGCTGGCCAGGTTGTATAATAAACCTCAATCAACCATCGCTACTATTGGTGGTACAGCTGCTGCTGCTGCTGCACTGTCAGCTGCTGCTGCTGCTGTAGCATCGTCTGCTGCTGCTGTAACATCGTCTGTTGCTGCTGTAGCATCGTCTGCTGCTGCTGTAGCATCGTCTGTTGCTGCTGTACCACCGTCAGCTGCTGCTGCTGCTGTAGCATCGTCTGCTGCTGCTGTAACATCGTCTGTTGCTGCTGTAGCATCGTCTGCTGCTGCTGTAGCATCGTCTGTTGCTGCTGTAACCACCGTCAGCTGCTGCTGCTGCTGTAGCACCGTTGTTGGTGTGGCTTATTGAGAATACCAAGAAACAATTAACCCCAGAGGATTTGCCACCCAGGATAACCCAAAAAAGTCAGTGTCATCGAAGACTGTCTAACTTATTTCCATTGGGGTCCTTAATCTTGTCTCCCAGGATGCAACCCACACAAGTCGACTAACACCCAGGTGAACAGGGAAAAATGCCTGGAACTAGTGCTCATATTGGTGAATTTAAAGCCAGCAAAGGTTGGTTTGAGAGATTTAAGAATCGTAGTGGCATACACAGTGTGATAAGGCATGTTCTGGAAGAAAATGCCAAACAGGACCTACAGTACTCAGGAGGAAAAGGCACTCCTAGGACACAGTGTCTCATCAGTCATTGCTGCATCTTCAATAAAGGTAAGTGTCATTTATTCTTCATTTAGTAGACTAGTACATGCACAATATATACTGTGCATGTACTACTCTACTATTGTGCATGTATCCTTCTCTTTGTGTGTGGGAAAATGTATATTTCATGTGGTAAAAAAAATTTTTTTTCATACTTTTGGGTGTCTTGCACGGATTAATTTTATTTCCATTATTTCTTATGGGGAAAATTCATTCACATACCGATTATTTCGCATAACAATTACCCCTCTTGCACGGATTAAAATCGTTATGCGGGGGTCCACTGTATTTAAAATGATTAAATCTGAAATTCTAATTTTGAAGTATTACAGTACAGAATTACAAAAGAACAATTTATACAATTTACAATATGAATTTATTATTATAATCAAAAAGAACCACTAAGCCACAAGGGCTATACAGCATTACAATATGAAGTATTACAATTTTGTATTCAAAACTATGAAATTTGAATATCGTAATTTTGTAGTAATGAGTATGTACATGATTAAGCAATCCTCAGCAAAATATCCAGTAATGAAATTGAGACCTCATTAGTAATTTTTTGTGTAGCTTTTGAGTAGCTGGTAGGTATGAAGTACGGTATATCTGTTTAATTTTGGGTGATGAGATTTCTAAGTAGGGCCTTAAATTGATTTGCAGACAGGGGTCCTTTAGTGTGTTCTGGTAATGAGATGGCCACGAGGAATATCGTAGAGTGATTTGTGTCTTGCATTATGGTTGTGTGTTCTGATGTAGTTATCAAGAGGGAGTTTGAGAGGAGGGTTTATATTTGAGTGTAGTGTTCTGTGTATGTAGTAGGCGCAATAGTAAGTGTGGATATTTTGTATATTAAGTTAAGATTCTTGACAAGTGGAAGAGTGTGCTGTCTAGTACAGAGTTTTAACAATCCCTACATCACATTTGGAAGTTATAGATCCATCTACCAACTTTTCCTGTTATTCCTTTATCATGCATTTTGTGCACTATTACACCACAGTCACACTTGTCAAAGGCTTTTGCAAAGTTTGTGTATACTACATCTGCATTTTGTCTGTCTTCTAGAGCATCCAGGACCTTGTCATAGTGGTCCAGTAGTTGGGACAGGCAGGAGCAACCTGCTCTAAACCCATGTTGCCCTGGGTTGTGTAATTGGTGGGTATCTAGATGAGTGGCAATCTTGCTTCTTACAACCCTTTCAAGATTGTTTATGATATGGGATGTTAGCACTATCTGGTCTGTACTTTGTTGTTTCTTTACTTCCCCCTTACCTGGAGAGGGTTTTAGGGGTCAACGCCCCTGCGGCTCAGTCTGAGACCAGGCCTCGTGGTGGATCAGGTCTGATAACAACCAGGCTCTACTGCTGACCGCGCACAAACTGATGTATGAACCACAGCCCGCTGGTTAGCTACAGGTGGGGCCATCACTAATCCGGCATCATCGAGACCTGTAGGGTGCCAGATTAGTAACTTTGCAGGATTACCCAATTTATGCCCTATTTTTTAACCCTTCCATTGTTCCAGTCTACCAAACTCATAGCTATTTCGCTAGCATTCCTTCTGTTTAAATTCAGCAAGATTTATATAAGCGTTGCACTGACCTTTGCTTCAGTGCAACTCTTGCAAGAATAGACCTTGCAAGGGTTCTTGCAAGATCTCTTCTTGTTTCTGGTTTGTTATACAAAATAGCTAGCTGGTTTATTATGCGTTCAAACCCATTGACTACATGATGGTCTTTAAGGACCTCAATAAAATACAGGTGTCCCTCGTGTTTTTGTAATTAATCCGTTCCTGGAGCCGTTACTATAAACAAAATTTACGATTTACGAATCAATTTTCCCCATAAGAAATAATGTAAATACAATTAATCCGTTCCTGACACCCAGAAGTATTAAAACGAAAAATTTTTAACATGAAATATACATGTAGTACATAAACAATACAATGAGAAATGATGAATGAAACATTAACAGCATAACACTTACCTTTATTGGAGATTCTTCTTAGTGTATGGGAGACTGGAGGAGGAGAGAGAGTGGATTGTTTATAGTTTGGAAGGGGAATCCCCTTCCATCAACACCTCAGGTACCATTTGCTTTTCTGGGGTTGCTTCTCTTCTCTGTTTCTTAATGCCACTAGGACCACCTTAAGAGTCAGTGGAGTCCTGTCTCACAAAATAACTGTGGAGAGAGCTCTGTTTCTGGCGTCTCTTTAACACTTCCCTAAAATGCCCAAGACTTTGTCACTGTACATGTTGCCAACCTGGCTTGCAACAACCTTGTTAGGGTGATGTTTCTCCATAAAGCTTTCCATCTTACCCCACATAGTAAAAATCTCTTTAATTTCTGAAGAAGGCACCTTCTTCCATCTCTCTTCCTCCTCCTCTGCAGCAAGATTCTGAGCTGCGATGTGTTGCTCTTCCTGCTGAAGCTGTTGCAGCTCCTCAGTGGTGAGCTCTTCATTGTGGTCTTCCACCAATTCTTCCACATCCTCCAAACTCACATCCAACCCCATGGAACTCCCCAGTGCCACAATTGATTTTACAACAGACATAGGCTCATTAGGGTCAGTCCCAAATCCTTCAAAAATCCCTCTTGTCGACACAATCTGGCCACAATTTTTCTCCAGGCAGAGTTCAAAGTCCCTGGTAGTCACTCCCTCCCAAGCATACCTATAAGGGTTATGCAGTGGAGGAATGCTGAAGTGTTCTCTCCAAAATTCCCTTAGGGTCAAGCGAGTGTCTGTGGTCACAGTCAAGCACCTGTGAAACACTGCTTTTGTTTAGAGTTTTTTTAAAGTTTGCAATAACCTGCTGGTCCATGGGTTGGAGGAGAGGAGTGGTATTCGGGGGCAAGAACTTTACTGTGATGAACCCAAACTCCTCGAAAATTAGGTCATCCAAGTTTGGAGGATGAGCAGGTGCATTGTCCATTACTAGCAGGCACTTGAGATCCAATTTCTTTTCCAGGAGATACTCCTTCACACTAGGGCCAAACACTTCATTGAACCCACTCGATGAAAATTCCCTCGTGACCATGCCTTACTATTAGATTTCCAAAACAACACACAATTTACTCTTCATAACATTGTTTTTCCTGAACACTCTGGGATTTTCAGAATGGTACACTAGTAATGGCTTCACTTTGAAATCCCCACTAGCATTAGCACAGAACATTAGCGTCAGCCTGTCTTTCATAGGCTTGTGGTCCTGGCATTGCCTTTCCTCTTGTGTAATGAAGGTCCTCTTTGGCATTTTCTTCCAAAAGAGGCCTGTTTCGTCACAATTGAACACTTGTTCAGGTTTCAGTCCTTCAGCCTCTATGTACTCCTGGAATTCATGCACATACAGTGGACCCCCGCATAACGATTACCTCCAAATGTGACCAATTATGTAAGTGTATTTATGCAAGTGCGTTTGTACATGTATGTTTGGGGTCTGAAATGGATTAATCTACTTCACAATATTTCTTATGAGAACAAATTCGGTCAGTACTGGCACCTGAACATACTTCTGGAGTGAAAAAATATCGTTAACCGGGGGTCCACTGTATTTTTCAGCTGCCTTGTGGTCCGAACTGGCAGCCTCACCATGCCTTACCACACTGTGTATGCCAGTGCGGTTCTTAAATCCCTCAAACCAGCCTTTGCTGGCCTTAAATTCACTCACTTCACCACTATTTGCAGGCAATTTCTTTACCAAATCTCATGCAACTGCCTAGCCTTTTCACAAATAATCGAAGTCATAAGAGTATCTCCTGCTAATTGTTTCTAATTTATCCACACCAATAATAACTTCTCAACCTCTTCCAGTACTGGTGATCTCATTTTTGTCAGCATAGTTACTCCTTTGCAACAACAGCATCCTTTATTTCCTTTTTTCTTGGCCACTATGGAACATAAGGTTGTGTAGGGTTTCTTATACATCCTGGACAGTTCAGCCACACTTGTACCACTTTCATATTGTTCAATGATGGTTTTCTTAAATTCAATCGTATTTCTCACCTTCTTTACCACAGGTTTGGCACTAGGAGCTTTCTTTGGAGCCATGGTAGCTTATTTAGTACTTGCAAGCACTAAAATAAATGGAATATTATGAAATATTTCGCTGGAGCACGTGAGGGGACCTTTGCTCACTGGTAAACAATGCCAGACTGGCTGCCGCCCCGGCTCACGCAGTGGGTACGCGTCCCGGACGAACTATGACTCGCGAGTCAACCTATGAAAAGCGAGTCCATGTTTATACGAAAATACCCCTATGATTGGCGAATTTTACGATTGCCGGGGACTACGAAAAGCGGGGGACCACTGTAAGTCACTTTGTCTAACTTTTTTGAGTTATCCTAAGTTCAAAACACATATGCTGCTATGTATGATGTGGCATGCAAAGAGTACGTAACCTTTATTCGGCGCATGTACACACCCTCATTTACAGGCTATCTCCCCCAACCAGCGAACCAGGTTGCTAAGAGTTGATGATGGGGCCCCGTCGTTCAACTAGTGACCAGGTTTTAGCCAATAAGAAGATGGTTTTGGCAATCGCAGAGGTTATGTGGGTACCGCTCTCCTGTCTGCCCTTGTCATTCCCATTCTAGAGCTGGTTGAAGCACGGTCTGCTATCTTGTGGCTTCTATTTCTGCTTTGCTTACCGTGGAGTGCACTATATTTAAATCACTGTACATAGTGTACATATTGCTGTTCTAAATTGGTGAAGGATAAAATAAGTCTAAACTTTTTCTGCTGTGTTTATTTTGCTCCCATTACACCCGGGATAACAGGCCATTTGGAATCCTGGGTTGTAATATATGATAATCTATGTAACTGTATTTGTGTATACCTGAATAAACTTACTCATTTACTTATTTCTATTCTGTCAACTGAGTACAAGAAACAGCCCATTCACCTGTTTCAACTACCCAATAAAGTGGCCAGAAATTGGCAATTTGGCCAAGTATTGCCGGATTACTGATGGAACTGGATTAGTGATGGCCAACCTGTATACACAGACTTTGTGAAAGCATTTGACAAGTACAACCATGGTGTAATAGTGCACAAACTCCATGATAAAGGAATAACAGGAAAAGTTTTTAGCTAGATCTATAAGTTCCTGACAAATAGAACACAGAGTAATAGTAAACAGATTAAAGTCTGAGATGGCCACACTGAAAAGCTCTGTTGCACAAGGCACATTCCTCACTCCCATCCTGTTCCTCATCCTCATATCTGACAGCTGTAAACCATAGCTCCATGTCTTCCTTGGCGGATGATACCCGAATTGCCATGATAGTGACCTCCATCGAAAAAACTGCTAGACTCCAAGCTGACATTAACTAGATCTTTAAATGGGCTGCAGAAAATAGTATATCACCTTTGAAGACCACAACAATCTATCTACCTCATCTGCTAGAAAAATGGTAGGATGCATAATAAGAACCTTCAAAACTAGGGATGCCAAGCCCATGCCTGTCCTCACTAGGCCGGAATATTTCTGCACACTAACTGCCCCCCTTCAAGGCAAGCGAAACTGCTGACCTGAAGAATGGGACAGAGAACATTCATGGCACACATAAGTACAATAAAGCACCTAAATTACTGGGAATGGTTGAAGTCTCTTAATTTATATTCCCTGGAATGCAAGTGAGAAAGATACATAATATACACTTGGAAAATCCTAGAGGGATTAGTACCAACTTGCACACAAAAATCACTCCCTGCTAAAGCAAAAGACTTGGCAGGAGATGCAACATTTCCCCCAAGAAAAGCAGGGGCACCATGTGTACACTGAGAACCAGCACAATAGGTGTCGGGGGCTCAAGACTATTTAACTGCCTCCCAGCATAAATAAGTGGGATTACCAATAGACCTTTGGCTATCTTCAAGAAGGAGCTGAACAGGCACCTAACGTCAGTGCCTGCTCAGCCGGGCTGTGGTTCATATGTTTACACGCTTCCAGCAGAATCAGCCTGGTTGATCAGACTGATCCACCACAAGACTTAGTCTCAGACTGGGCTGTGGGAAAGGTTGCCCCCCAAAACTCTCTCCAGGTATATTCCAGGTATGCCCATGAGTCCTTTGGCAACTATCAACCAAGTGTTTCTGGTCAGGATTGATAGTTTAATGTTCTGTACATGTAGTGTGCACAGTAGTATGAGTGAATGTTATGTATATTAAGTAAGTTTAAAGGGCCCCTGAAATGAAGAGTAATAACTTACTGCTGCTTTCTGTTGAGTTATTGAGATCTTTCTTTCTGTCCTTTAATTTTTTCAATAATAACTATACTATACACTTTACCAGGTATACTCAACAGGCTTATTCCCCTGTAATCTTTACACTTTCTTTTGTCCCCCTTGCCTTTATACAGAGGAACTATACATGCTCTGCCAATCCTATTCACTTAGTGATTTGCTGTAACAGATCCCCAGGCACAAATTGGATTAAGTCAGGCAGGGACTGATTAGTATAATGTGAGTAGTGCTGTTTGAGGTATATAGAAGCATATCTTGGAGGATGCCAAATGATTTGAACATTTTTTTATGTGTCAGATGTGGATATTGAATTTCAAGTTGCAGTCAAGGAACAGACCTTGGAATTTTCCTTCATTTTGCTTAGCAATGGGAGAACCATTGGTTGGTCGATGAATTTGGTAGGGTATGTAAAAGAAGAAAATTAAAAGTGAATATAGGAAAGAGTAAGGTTATGAGGATAACAAAAAGATTAGGTGACAAAAGATTGGATATCAGATTGGAGGAGAGAGTATGGAGGAGGTGAATGTATTCGGATATTTAGGAGTGGACGTGTCAGCAGATGGGTCTAGAGGATGAGTGAATCACGGAACTGATGAGGGATAAAGAGTGAGTGGTGCACTTAGGAGTCTGTGGAGACAAAGAACTTTGTCCGTGGAAGCAAAAAGGGGAATGTATGAGAGTATAGTTGTTACCAACACTCTGTTGGGTGTGAAGCATGGGTAATGAATGTTGCAATGAGGAGAAGACTGGAGGCAGTGGAGATGTCATGTCTGAGGGCAATGTGTGGTGTGAATATAATACAAAGAATTCATAGTTCGGAAATTAGAAGGTTTGGGATTACCAAAACTATTATCCAGATGGCTGACGAGGGGTTGTTGAGGTGGTTTGGACATGTAGAGAATGGAACAAAACAGAATGACTTCGAGAGTGTATAAATCTGTAGTGGAGGGGAGGCGGGTAGGGGTCCAGCCTAGGAAGGGTTGGGGAGGGGGTAAAGGAGGTTTTGTGTGCGAAGGGCTTGGACTTCCCAGCAAGCGTGCATGAGTGTATTTGATAGGAGTGAATGGAGAACAAATGGTTTTTAATACTTGACGTGCTGTTTGGAGTGTGAGCAAAGTAACATTTATGAAGGATTCAGGGAAACCGGCAGGCCGGACTTGAGTCCTGGAGATGGGAAGTACAGTGCCTGCACTCTGAAGGAGGGGTGTTAATGTGCAGTTTTAAAACTGTAGTGTAAAGCGCCCCTCTGGCATGACAGTGATGGAGTGAATGATGATGAAAGTTTTTCTTTTTTGGACCACCCTGCCTTGGTGGGAATCGCCAATGTGTTAATAAAAAAAAAATATTTAATTGGACATTTGTTGCTCTGTTCCCAAATATCATGTAGAAGGTCATATCAGCTAAACAAATATTCTTGTGTAATCATACTGGAATCAATGATAATAGAACATCACCATGAAACATTTTCTACAGTCAATTTACAGTTTTTGTATTATGATGGATATTTTCAAGTCCATCTACAGATGTTCAGTAAATAGTAATATGATAATAATACTTTCTCAATTAAACATTTGCAACTGTTCTCCATTACATTTCAATGAAAAGGATTGTATGACATTACAGGGTTTATAGTTTAATTATACTGCATATATTTCCTACACCTGAGTTACAAGAATATACACACAATAAATAGGGAAGAATTTAGGAAGGAAGTACACATTAAGGACAATTGTGAAATCTTCAAAACGAATATTTATCATACCTTATCATAGGTATGGTTCAAGGGGTTGATTTGCATCATTACAACAGGCAGGCTCCAGAGATACACCTGTCACCTAAAGGACATCTTATGCCACCCTCCAGAACTCGGGAGGGGAATTGGGACGTCTTCCAGATGATCCATATTCCACAGCAAACACCACCACCAAGGACCTCAATGGAATGGGATGTATAATGACATCCTTTCCTCAACCTAGGAGCTAGAATTCCTGAGGGAAGAACCCTAAAGGCTAAAAATGTGAAAGGAAGGGGAAAAGATGGGTAAAGGAGGAGGAATGGAGCAGGGCAGGAATGGGGGGTAATTAAGATTGGTCGGAGGAAGACCAAAAGGTCCAGTTCCTCAAACCAAAAGCCTCTTTACTGGAACAAAGAGCACCCTCTTAAAGAGAACATACATATATGCTAGACGTTCAACTCAATATTTTATTTACACTTGCATATATTTTTTTTATATGCCCCACCTCAACCTTTCACCTACTCCAGACTGACTGACTGTTTTTTATTGATTTATCTTTCTCAGTTCTTTCTGCATGACCAAGTACTATTTATAATGATCTGCTTCGTTCTCTATACGAAGTGCATTATTAAATTCCTAGTAAGAATAGATCTTAAACACATAAAGAGTGCATTAAACACTGCAAGTGTTGTTGCCTTCATGATTTTCTGAAACAAACTGTGATAGCACATCACTAGTGAACTAGATACAATTTCTTATACTTTAACCATTAACCATCAAGATTTTAATGAACACATCTTCGCTAGCACTCCGAATATTTTGGAAAAAAAAAACAGGTAAATTTTCTGTGTGTAATATGAAGCATAAGCATGACTGTGACAAGGAATATACACATTTTAGTGACAGTAGTTTCTTTCCAACTGTGTAGCCATCACTATTCTGCAACATCTGTAATACCTGCTTGTCTAGCTGACAATCAGGTTCATAAATGACTCTTTCTAAGAGAGATGAACACAGCCAGTCAGAGCCAACTAGCCAGCATCAGCCAGCCAAATATATATAACACGTGTTGAAGAATTGTCTCTCTCTGTCTCTACTAACTCGGGGCATCAGTAATAGAACATTCTGGAAGGATTCCACTACCAGGACATCAAATGTGAAAGGATGCTACACATGGGTTATTTAGGTTTTTGAAAATTTCCTCAACCACTTGTGGCCTGGTAGGCAACACTTTCACCTCTCACAAATTGTGTCTGTAGTTCGATCCCTGGCAAAAGTGGAACATTGGGCATGTTTCTTTACACCTGTTCCGTTCACCTAGCAAGCAAGTAGGTATCCGAGTGTCAGTCAACTGGTGTGGGTCACATCCTGGTTAACAAGATTTAAGGACCCCGATGGAAGTAAGACATACAGGCCCTAGATGATGCACTGACTTTCTTGGGTTATCCTGGATGGATAACCCTCCAGGGTTAAAAATCCAAACAAAAATCTTATTCGTCTCAAAGTCAATAAATTCAAGGTCAACATCACTTTCCTCCTGAAAAGAGGAAAATGAATCACTAGGGTTTGCCATGCTAGAGAAGATTTTCTTCAGATTTTTAACCCCGGAGTGTTACCTACCCAGAATAACCCAAGAAAGTCGGTGCGTCATTGAGGACTGTCTGTCTTATTTCCATTGGGATCCTTAATCTTGTCCCCCAGGATGCGACCCACACCAGTCGACTAACACCCAGGTACCTACTTGCTGCTAGGTGAACATGGCAACAGGTGTGAAGAAACGCGTCGAAATGTTTCCACCCCGCCAGGAATCAAACCCAGGCCCCTCAGTGTGTGAAGCAAGAGCTTTAGCCACCAGGCCACCAGGGCTGTAGCTGGCACTCAATTGAACTGGTGCTCCCACAAGGTACTAAGTGGTCCCAGACTTTTTTAATACACTGAGTGTCAAGACCCATTCTATACTGCCTAGCTTATCAGGCTTCTGGTGTGACATTTGAATGCAGGAAAAACAGTGCACTGATCAATGTCTGGAGTGCTAGCAGTAATGAGTTCATCAACAGTTTGACAGTTAAAAGGGGGGTTAATATTACCTCATTCTGTCATATAGTCTCAACCTAAGCTTAGTGTTATGAATGAATATTCGTATTTTGCTTAAATGTTTAACACTAAAAGGCTTTTAGGAACTCAAGAGCACTGACCTGGTTTGGTCTGTGTATGAATCTTGGTGTGTTTTACTAAATGACGTTTCCTAGAAAACTTCTTCAGACAATTTGAGCACTGATATGGTCTCTCTCCTGTATGCTTCCTCATGTGTATTACTAAATCAGATTTGTTATTAAACTTCTTTAGACATTCTGAGCATTCATATGGTTTCCTTAGAGAATGATTCCTCATGTGCTTTACTAATATTAATTTTTGTTTAAAAGTCTTTGGACACTCGCAGCATTTATATGGTTTCTCTCCTGTATGGTCCATCATGTGTTCTACTAATTCAGAGCTTTGTGCAAAAATTTTTAAACACTTTGAGCATTTATATTGTTTCTCTCCTGTATGGTCCCTCAAGTGTTCTACTAATTCAGAGCTTTGTGCAAAATTTTTTAAACACTTTGAGCATTTATATGGTTTCTCTCCTGTATGGTTCCTCATGTGTTTCACTAACTCATATTTTTCTTTGAAGCAAATTAGACACTCAGAGCAGCGGTATGATGTCTTTTGGTGAACTTTCATATGGAGAACTAGATTAGATTTTACTTTATAGGTCTTTTGACATTCAGTACAAGGGTATGATTTCTTTCTTTTATGGACCTGCATGAGTCTCATCAATTTAGATTTATTTTTAAAGCCGTTTTGAGATTCCATAAACTGGTATGGCATCTCTCCGGTATGAATTTTAATATGATCATCTAGAAAGTGTTTTTGTGCAAAATTCTTCACACAAACTGAACACTGATGATGTTTCCTTGAGCACAGGTGTTTTTCCTCTCCTGTATGAAGATTCATGTGCATTTTTAAATAGCCTTCTTGTGAAAATTGTTTTTGACACTCTGAACAATTATATGGTCTCTCACCTGTATGGCTACTCATGTGTATAATAAATTTAGAGTTATAGTTAGTATTCTTTAGGCACAATGAACACCAATATGATTTTATTCCTATTTGATCTTCTGTTTTGCCTGCTAGATGATCATGTGATATTGACACAATGGTAAAAATGAGTGTTTCCCTATCTTCTTGCTTGAAGTTTTATTTATAATGTTCCCTGAGTTTATACTGGGTGCTGGCATGGAATGTGTTCTTGCACTCTAATGATTATCTGTAAAAAAAAAGAATGAGTGATTAGCAAGACATAACTGGGACTCATTAAACAAATTTATAGCTTTTGCTAAACACTTCATGCTAAGACATTTCAATTTTAGTTCACACTGTCAACTGGCCGGCTGACCAGCCGGGACGAATGAGATATAAAGAGCAAACTGTGTACCACTTGCAGCTAATTTTGGATTGTATTGCACTAACCTTATTATAGAGGGAACACAATAGACTGTTAAAAATATAGTTCTATACTAATAGAGGATGGTAAAAGACAGTTACAAATAAAAAAAAAAAGAACTGTTACTTTTTTAAGCAAACAAGATGAAGGTCTTGAGGTGTCTAGTAAAAGTACAAACTATAAGGTTGTGTTTGAATAACTGACAATTCACTGCTTTCAGATTAACAAAATAAAATGAAAATTAGGTGTTAGAATATTTTGATAAAAAAAAATGGGGTTTCATAACACTACTTGTGGAAAGTGGGTGCAAACTGCATTCTATTCTGACTCAGGTCGCATCCTGGGACAAAACTGACCTAATTTGCAGTAAATGCTCAGCCTAACAAGCGGCTTTCTATATAGTAGTATTTGCAGAAGTTTGCAGAAGTCTCTCTGGAGAGAGTTCGGGGGTCAACGCCCCGCGCCCGGTCTGTGACCAGGCTCCTGGTGGATCAGAGCCTGTTCAACCAGGCTGTTACTGGGCTGCACGCAAACCAACGTACGAGCCACAGCCCGACTGGTCAGGTACCGACTTTAGGTGCTTGTCCAGTGCCAGCTTGAAGACTGCCAGGGGTCTATTGGTAATCCCCCTTATGTTTGCTGGGAGCAGTTGAACAGTCTCAGGCCCCTGCCCACTATTGTATGGTCTTTAACGTGCTAGTGACACCCCTGCTTTTCATTGGGGGGATGTTTGCATCGTCTGCCAAGTCTTTTGCTTTGTAGTGAGTGATTTTCGTGTGCAAGTTCGGTACTAGTCCCTCTAGGATTTTCCAGGTGTATATAATCATGTATCTCTCCCGCCTGTGTTCCAGGGAATACAGGTTCGGGAAAACTTCAAGCGCTCCAAGTAATTGAGGTGTTTATCTCCGTTATGCGAGCCGTGAAGGTTCTGTGTATTTTTCTAGGTCAGCAATTTCACCTGCCCTTTAAAGGTGCTGTTAGTGTGCAAAACAATATTCCAGCCTGATAGAAACAAGTGACCTGAAGAGTTTTCATCATGGGCTTGGCATTCCTAGTTTTGAGGTTCTCATTATTCTCCTGTCATTTTTCTAGCAGATGTGATTGATACAATGTTATGGTCGTAATAAAGTTGATAGAATTACCCACAATATGTAAAGTAAAAGGACATAAGTTGCAACTAATGTGACATTTTATTGTGGCAACGTTTCGCTCTCCAGGAGCTTTATCAAGCGAAAACGTTTGCCACAATAAAATGTCACATTAGTTGCACTTGTGTCCTTTTACTTTACAAATGTTATGGTCCCTTTAAAGGTGAGATCCTCTGACATGATCACTCCAGCTGATGTCAGCTATGGCCTGTATCCTTGTACATGTACTTGTATACCCTTTTACATGTACTTGTATACCTTGTACAAAGTACTTGTATACCTTGTACATGTACTTGTATACCTTGTACATGTACTTGTATACCTTGTACATGTACTTGTATACCTTGTACATGTACTTGTATACCTTGTACATGTACTTGTAGTAAATAACGATATTATTATCGTGAGAAGTACATAGCACAGGAATAATATATTTCTTTAGTTTTCTGAAATAATTAAATTAATTTCTCAAAGAGCATTACTACTCACCTCAGTCAACAGCGAGTTCACAGTAAATAGTGAAAACTGTTCATTTTGTCTTACAGTTACTGAGACAAACCGTGTTAAAAGACTTGTTCTTTGTTGGGTTTATAAAGGCCACTGACACCATGAGCCGTATCTTACTTTGTTGGGTTTATAAAGGCCACTGACAACATGAGCCGTATCTTACTTTCTTTGTTGGATTTATAAAGGCCACTGACACCATGAGCCGTATCTTACTTTCTTTGTTGGGTTTATAAAGGCCTCTGACACCATGAGCCGTATCTTACTTTCTTTGTTGGGTTTATAAAGGCCTCTGACACCATGAGCCGTATCTTACTTTGTTGGGTTTATAAAGGCCACTGACACCATGAGCCGTATCTTACTTTCTTTGTTGGATTTTTAAAGGCCACCCGACACCATTTAGCCGTATCTTACTTTCTTTGTTGGGTTTATAAAGGCCTCTGACACCATGAGCCATATCTTACTTTCTTTGTTGGATTTATAAAGGCCTCTGACACCATGAGCCGTATCTTACTTTCTTTGTTGGGTTTATAAAGGCCTCTGACACCATGAGCCGTATCTTACTTTCTTTGTTGGGTTTATAAAGGCCTCTGACACCATGAGCCGTATCTTACTTTCTTTGTTGGGTTTAAAAAAGGCCTCTGACACCTGAGCCATATCTTACTTTCTTTGTTGGGTTTATAAAAGGGCCCCTGACACCATGAGCCGTATCTTACTTTCTTTGTTGGTTTATAAAGGCCCCTGACACCATGAGCCGTATCTTACTTTCTTTGTTGGGTTTATAAAGGCCTCTGACACCATGAGCCGTATCTTACTTTCTTTGTTGGGTTTATAAAGGCCACTGACACCATGAGCCGTATCTTACTTTCTTTGTTGGGTTTATAAAGGCCACTGACATCATAAGCCGTATCCAGTAACTACTCCGTTAAAATTAATTTTTTTTATATCTTTGCATAGTTTACAATGTGTGAATGACATGTTATAAGTTTATTTCCATGCATAGCTGACAGTGTGTAATTACAATATTGATTTGCTAAGTAGATTAGATTTTGCCACTAAAGTGGCTAGTTTATTGTGCACTCCATATTTATCCTGTGGACGTAGGCGCATACCTATCTTAC